ATCCGTTCGCATATAAATACATGAACTTGTGGTGAATGGCCGATCTTCCACGGAGTGAAACCCACACCGAAAACGATCTAGAGTGCCTGATGCCTTTTAAATATCGAATGGGCTAGTCCAAGCTTGCTACTCTAAAAGTGAATTCCGTTTCAATTAATTCGCTTTTACAACCGTTTTTCTCCAACGCACCTGGCTCACACATAAAGATTCCGAGTGTGAAATCCGTCTTAATGCAAAATTGAGGTGGAGATTTGAACAACACTGAAACTTGGCACGGAGTTATGCGAACGGTTTGATTACGAGCACCGTTTTTTTAGGCAAATGCTTTTTGTTTTGAATAAAAGCTAACTAAAGTTATGTTGACTTCTAATGTGAAATGTAGGACATCGCTCAAGGTGTCTATCGTGCCAACGACGACTGACCTTGATGTACCGATGTTAAACAGCGCGAAAGTTAATTCATGAAACAATATATATATATATATGTATATATATATAACGTTGTCCTTAAGAGTTATGTACTAGAGAGGTTAAAAACGGACTTGGTAATGGGAAAAAAAATGAAACTAATCATGACAAACGGAAACATTGTTGGAGGCTATCAAAAGGAACTACAGTTAATCAAAAAGAACAATGAATCCCTCGCGTTTCCTCAAACATTGTTAAGCATGAAATCTACATGTTGGTACTACTCTGTTTGAACTCCATTGGATGCGAATAAATGCATGCAGTTTGAGTATCAAATTATGCAACATACGCCTGGCCACCTCTCTTTATATGGCGGTGTTTCCGCAGTTCATGTGTAATATAATGCGCTTGCCACGGTGCTGGTTGATAGCCGATTGTTTGAAAGAAATCCTTCTCAAATTCTGCGTTAAAGGCAGTGACCATCGGCTCCATCGGGCATCGAGAGGTGTATGAGGCACGTCGAACGTTTGAACCCGTCCAAAGGGTGTATAATCCGATGAACTGGGTACCCGCTTTCAGTGATATGTGGTTTTCACACACCTCTGATTCCCTGCGAGTCAAACTGGAGATATTCAATGCCTCCGGTTGTGAATTTCCAAGAAAATACAAATGCAAATATGTAAGGGAACCCGATCTTGATTTTCATGTTCAGCTTTTACTTTTTAATAATATTTTCATGATCAATTATTAGCATTATTATTTCGCTAATCATTCGTTCAGGAATGTTCGTTCTGGATGAACAGTGCCAAACGTACTGGTTCAATCCTGTCCCGTTGGAGGATTTGGATCGCGAATACTGCCTGATCGGGATTCTGCTTGGTCTTGCTATCTACAACGATGTCATTCTCGATATCCACTTTCCTGCCGTACTGTATCGCAAACTGGTAGGCAAGCTGGGTACTTATGAAGACCTGAAAGATGCTCGACCGGTGAGCTTCAACTTAAAAAAAGAATCATTTTTCATTTGAAAATGTACCCATCTGATTCAACGTTATTTGCCACGTAATCGGGAATTCATAACTTCCCCGATGGTTGAATAATTTACGATACCGGTAAAACCCTAATACTTTCGAGTACTGTCGCTTA